CTATGCGATCCGGGCTGGCTGGCTGGATCAGGCAGACGCGCCCTCCAATCAGGCAGTGTAGAGGGCCGCCCGCAGTGGCCTCGGAAGAGCGAGCGGCCCCCGATGACAGCCAGTTGATCGTGTCAGGGAGAGGGAGCCATGGCTTCGTTTAGCGGGGGTCGTGACGGCGCCCCCCCCCTCAGTCCTGCGCCCGGGGCAAGTGACCCCCCCGCACCCCCGGTTGTTACGCCACTGTTCCCTATACAAAGTGAACATGCTTTACTCCTTTAGTAAAACAAATCCTATAGTTTCTCACATTTTTGGAAAAATTGTGTGGAGAGGGGCATTGCTAGACCCTGGCAACTGAGTGCTCCAGGTCTTCTATTAAATGCCCTGGGTCCTCTACATAGTGCCCCAAATCTTCTATTAAGTGTCCTGAGTCTTCTACTGAGTGTCCGCGTCTTCTAACAAGTGCATCAAGTCTTTTATTGAGTGCCCTGGGTCTTCTACATAGTGCCCATGGTCTTTCATTGAGTGCCCCAGTTCTTCCACATAATGCCCCAGAGCTTTTGAGTGTCCCAGGTCTTCTACTGAGCGCCTTGGGTCCAGGGCCAGCCTTAGGCCTTTAGGCGCCTTGTGCAAGAAAGCTTTACAGTGCCCCTCAGTGACCACTCCCCTCAATGACCACAACCCTCAATAACCACACCCATTTTCCCAATATCCGCACCATTTAACCGCTTGCCGTCAGCCCCTTTGTGAAAAAACGGACGGACGGCAGAATCACATGGGCGGGTTGCCGACATTAGACGCGCACGTTAGACATTATTGTGCGCACGTGCAGAAAAAACTTGCCCGTTCTTTACAGCTGTTACCGGCTGTTTCACATACAACCGATCGGCGGCTGTATAGCCGCCGATCCGCATTCACCTGTCAGTCATCTGGCTACTATAGCCAGAGAGAAGTAGCTGATGAAGCAGATCTGTGACAGTCTCATTGTCACAGGTCGGCTTAGAACTATGAGGTGAGTGGAAATCACTCATCTCATAGTTCTCCTTTAAGCCCCAAAGAAACATTAAAAAGTATGATAAAAATAAAACTTCTATTCAAAGCTGTTAAACTTGTAGCACAATATAAGTATTCTTATTAAATAAAACAACAGGAGGCAAACAAGTGATAAACAATAAATGTCAAACTAAAATAGTGTCTATAAAAATAAAGTGTCGGGTTGTCATGCCGACCCTTTCTTCAAGTAAGTGCATCTAGAAAAGTAAAAATAGAAAACAGAACACAAAACCGACTACATGTTAAAATTAATTTATTACTATTTGCCTGAATATACAAAAAATGTATTCAGACACATAACAATTTGTTTGAGAATGTGAGGCAGCCATGTTGGCCACTGGCGTGTTCTGCGAATGCGTGCCACCATCTTGGAGGCGGGGAGCATGACGTCACATGACGCCATGCATGCAGACGTCACACGCCGATATAGGAGCTGCCATCTTGGCGTATACCTAGATATACACCAAGATGGCGGCACCCAACACGTGCGGTGTCATATGACATCATGCGCCCTGCCTCCAAAATAGCATAATTTTTTTTATAATGAAACGAATGAAACGTCTTTAGTTTTCATTAATTTCATCTGAAATGAATTCTTAGTCTTTGCACAGTTTAATAACTGATGATACTAAAACATTTACTGTGACGGACTGAACCGTCACTGGGGCTGCTGGAGGAGCCTGAGGGCTAGCCTCCTTCCTAGAGATTATGGACCAATCCCTATTTGCCCTGTTTCGAGTCCTTATTTGCATGGCCAAGAGGACCTAGGTGAGGACTGGAGGATACTTTGCAGTTGACCAATAGGAAGGTTGTCGGTTGGGCCACCTTCAAACTGTTGTTTATAAAAGTGTGTGTGTGCATCCAATAAACGAGATTCCTGTTTGAACTTACATACAGCCCGCCTGGTGTTTGTTCTGAGCTATCACCACTGGATACGAACGGCACATAGCTGTAGTTCGAATCCCAAATTATCGGATGTCCGAAATATCAGACGCTGCAGTCTGAAATCTAAGGAGTGCCGGGAGAGTGGAACCGAGCGAGCAAGGGGCTCGTTACATTGGTGGCAGCGGTGGGATCTGCTCTCCAATTACTGGGACACTCCAAACCACCACAGGGAATGACCAGCTATGCAGCCTGCAAGAGAGACACGCTGAAAGACCTGCTTGAGAGCCGAGGAGGGACCGCTGGGACAAAAGAACAAGGCCACCCTGATCAGTGAGCTAGCCGACATGGATCAGAGGGATGGTGATGCTGGACCCCGGTCAGTTGGATACTTGTTTCAGCAACTGGTTCGACAGCGGGTGACATTATATGGTGCCAACCCATCAGAGACCGCCATACAGAATGCCATTAGAGGCATCCAGCTGCAGGATGAGCGACAAGAGAAAGAACTAGAGCGGCAACATGAGTGGAGAATGGCGCAACTACGGCAATCAGAGACACGGCCTCTTTCCCCAGCGGCAGAGGGAGTTCCAGTGAGAGGAGGCAGACGGCCTCTCTCCCCAGCGGCAGAGGGAGTTCCAGGGAGAGGAGGCAGACGGCCTCTCTCCCCAGCGGCAGAGGGAGTTCCAGGGAGAGGAGGCAGACGGCTTCTCTCCCCAGCGGCAGAGGGAGTTCCAGGGAGAGGAGACATACGGCCTCTCTCCCCAGCAGCAGAGGGAGTTCCAGGGAGAGGAGGCAGACGGCTTCTCTCCCCAGCGGCAGAGGGAGTTCCAGGGAGAGGAGGCAGCCAAACTTTCTCCCCAGCAGCAGGTGGAGCATCTGCAAAAAGGTGCAGTGGATACTTGTTCCCAGTGGCAGTCTTTGTCCCAGGGAGGGGAGGCAGCCATTCTCACTCCCCAGCGGCAGGCCATGGTGCAGGGAGGTGTAGGGTCCCTCAACACCCCCCAGCGGCAGTTTGTTTTCAGGAAATCAGATGCCGGACATGTAAATTTGTCTTGTCCGACTAAGGCCCCATTCACACTGAGCGATTTATGGAGCGATTTTTGCAGCGATATCGCTCATATTTCCGCGCTATATCGCTCTATGTAGCTTCACCAATACATTTCAATGTAGCTATTCACATCTCGTCGCTCAATATTACTCAATATCGCTCAATATCGCTTGTAGCTCGTCGCTGGTAGCTTGTCGCTTCTACATGACCCTTTTTTAGAGCGATTTTGAGCGATATTGCTCCTGATTGCATACAGCCCAATAGGAAGATGTCGCGCGACACGTCGCTCAAAGTCACACGATTTCCATGTCGCTCAGTGTGAATGGGGTCTTACACAGCTTCAGACCAGTTGGCTGTCTGGTATCTGGTTAGTCTACTGTTGGGAGGGGAGAAATGTGACGGACTGAACCGTCACTGGGGCTGCTGGAGGAGCCTGAGGGCTAGCCTCCTTCCTAGAGATTATGGACCAATCCCTATTTGCCCTGTTTCGAGTCCTTATTTGCATGGCCAAGAGGACCTAGGTGAGGACTGGAGGATACTTTGCAGTTGACCAATAGGAAGGTTGTCGGTTGGGCCACCTTCAAACTGTTGTTTATAAAAGTGTGTGTGTGCATCCAATAAACGAGATTCCTGTTTGAACTTACATACAGCCCGCCTGGTGTTTGTTCTGAGCTATCACCACTGGATACGAACGGCACATAGCTGTAGTTCGAATCCCAAATTATCGGATGTCCGAAATATCAGACGCTGCAGTCTGAAATCTAAGGAGTGCCGGGAGAGTGGAACCGAGCGAGCAAGAGGCTCGTTACATTTGCTATCACCAGGTTCTGAATGGGGAGGAGCCTCTGTAGTGAGTGGTTCTTTCCATTCAGAAATTCATGAATAAACAGGAAGTGTAAATCACATCCTGTTCATTCATAACTGGGGACACATAGTACTATGTGTCCCCAGTTTTTTACAAACACTGGAGTGATCAGACACTCCAGTGTTTGTCCTTCACACACAGTGGATCGGAAAATATCATTGATTTTTACCCATCCTCCGCTCGACCACGCACACAGCCGCTGTCATCTTGAAACTGACAGGATGACAGCTGCTCCGCTTTTCTCACCGTTCGGCCGTCCTGAAAGCTGCGGCTTCTCTCCTCCTCACCGCTCGGCCATCCGTCATGAGAGCGCTCCCCCACCCTACCAGGCTTCAGCAGACAGTTTCTCCTCGGAACCCCCGCGGCCCATACAGGCCGGCCCTGCTTGGGTCTTCTATTGCGTGCCACAGGCTTTCTACTGAGTGCCCCTGGTCTTCTGTTGAGTGCCCCTGGTCTTCTACCGAGTGCCTCAGATGTTCTAGTGAGTGCCCCAGATCTTCTATTGAGTGCCCCTGATCTTCTGCTGAGTAACCTCTTTCTTCTAATGAGTGCCCCAGGTCTTCTATTGAATGCCTGGGGTTGTCTTATAAGGGCCCCAGGTTTTTAACTGAGTTCCTCAAGTCTTCTACTGAGTACTCCAAGTCTTCTATTGAGTGCCCCAGATCTTCTATTGAGTGCCATTTGCAATGATTGTTGCTGTCACCAAAAGAATAGTCTTTTAAACAAACACATCAACCTTTGCTGAACTGTGTTTCACACACTCTTATGCTTTAAAGCAATGATAACTAATTTCTTTTCA